TGTTTTTTTTTTATGTGCATTTTCTAACATGGATGGTGTATATTTGTATAACTATTAGTGTGCCCGCAGTGACCGCATAAAAAGGCGCGGGCACACCTGAACTTGACACCAACACGAATCCTCAAATACACCACACTAAGGTTAATAATGCACCAATAACGAACATAAAACACACAACACTATGATTTGATCTATTCCGGTGCCCAACGACGACTACTTTAACCTTGCAGTTCACGTAGTGTGAGAACGTGCACGAAAATATCGGAAAAGCCTTGATGAATGTGATTCGTTTTTTCTAATCTAATGGCCTACAATTAACCGCACCGCTGCACCTAAGTGCACTGCCGCACTTGAACCTTCCTCTCTCTCTCTCTCTCTCTCTCTCTCTCTCTCTCTCTCTCTATATATATATATATATATATATATATATATATATATATATATATATATATTATATATATATATATATATATATTATTGAGGACATTATTGTAAATTGATCCATATAACTTAAAATATAACCCTTAACCAAACAATGTAATAATATATTCCACAATCCAAACCAAACACATAAAGTAATTTTACATTCCGATAATCTCACATTACCTTCCGGGAAGTAATCCTATTACTTGGGGTAATCCAAGATTTCGTGAACCAAACGCCCCCTAGTATAGTCATATGTCCAAAATTGAAATTTTCTCTTTTAAACATGTTCTTAAACTTTCCTTCACCGGCCAATTTTTGCTAATTTAGAAAAAAAAATGTTTGTTTATTCAAAAGTTATGAAAAGTTTGAGTTTGTATGGTTGTTAGAATGGTAGTCCGTACGTGTGCGGGCATGGAGTTCACGACATGGAAGACTTAGTTGGAACATTTTATTCTTAATTTAATTTTGTGGATCGGAATATTTGACTTAATTGGATCTTGTGGCCGGGGTTTGGTCTGAACTCAGAATTTCAAGAGAAGTCCTCCGGCCAGGCCACCATAACTCAACCGTACCGCAACGTCTTTAATTACATTAATTACAAACAAAGAACCATGATAACCATGTTCTTCTTCTGTATCTAACCTTCCATATGCAATTTCGATTGTTATACCATGGTCCATTTCGCATTGTAGATTTTGGTTTAAAAATTTTGCGTATGCATTTGACATATTTTATATACTTGAAATTAACAATTTATATATGTAAATAAAATAAAGGCATTGCATATAACATGGTAATTGCATACACATAAAACATAATATATTGTTAAAATATTATGTGTCTATCGTTATCATGTTATGTGTCTATATTTAACATGTTATGTGACTTCAATTTATCAACTACAAATACATAATATAAATAAATGTTATTTTCGACCAGAATCCACAATGCAAAATAGACCTGGGTCCATAATACAATTGCATACAATTTATGGGAACTAATTAATTAAGAGATTATTTTCAAAATAAAAAAATTAATTAAGAGATTGAGAATCCAAATCGAGATCAGAGACTCACAGTACACACACAGCCCGTTTAATTCAAAAAATTTTGTTGTGGACCATGGTCTATGTAGCAGCGTGAATCAAGAAGTATGTATCATTTTTCTTTTGAAAATCATGTATCATTTTAATTACACTTCAATTTTATTTGACAATATTACTAATTTACAATGTTTTTTAATTTCATTATAACAATACTAAAATATCATTTAAATTCTATTATAGTTTCATTTGATAATGTACTAGTTTCATTATAACAATACTAAAATATCATTTAAATTCTACTATAGTTTCATTTGATAATATACATTATTGTTTGAGCTCTTTTTGTGTGTGTGTGTGTGTGTGTGTGTGTGTTTCATTTCCCACACACACACGTTTTTTTTTTTTTTTTTTTTTTTTTGAATGCTACTGACTCTAATACTATTTTCTCAACCTAATGAAGTACAAAGAGTCAACAACGCCTCCACTGAGGTTTGATCTCGACCTCCCACATGAGCATTTGAGGATGTTTTTATTGTTCGTCCAAAGAATGTTCGAACAATAGATGCGAAAAGGTAACCTTGACTTCTCGTGGTTAACCTTTCGAATCTCTTCCTCAACAACCTCTCTGATTTGACTTTCATTAGTCAATCCTTATTATTCAAAAATTAACTTCTCACTTAAATTAACTTTTCGTGCCTCCTACTATCCGGCTAAGGTTGGCCCTTTCACTTCTCGGCCATATAGAACCTTCCGGTCTTGAACTCTTCATATCTTCAACTCTTTGCAACTTCAACTCTTCGATCTTTAACCTCTCGAGTATTCAACTCTTCGTCATCTCGGATCTCCTTGACTTCTCGAAGATTGTTGTTCTAGCTCAACATCTCTAAGATAACTTCTCTTGACTTCTCAAAGTTACTTCTCGAATTAGTTTACTTCTCGGTTAGTAAGGTTCATTTTTAAAGTTACCTTTCGGAGATGAAATATCCTAAGGCTACTTTTCAAATTTGTTTACTTTCTGGTTAATTAACTTTCCAGTTAGTAAAGTTGATTCTCTAAGTTACCTTTCAGATTCCTATTTCTGATAACAAAAATATGGTGATAAAAATTTCCAACATATTTGGTATCATCAAAAAATCTGTTCCTAACAAGTAAATGAACATAAATGAACAAATTTTAGAGCTCATTTAATAAACGAACAGAGTCTGAACATTTGCTCAGATCTCGTGAACATGTTCGTTAGTGTTCGTTTAATAATGTTCATGAATATGCTCATTTAGTGTTCGTTTAATAATGTTTATGAACAAGCACGTTTAGTGTTTGTTTAAGACTATTCACGAACATGCTAATTTAAGTGTAATTTATTTATTTATTTTACTTTTAAGATACTACTTTAATTTAGCTTTTGTTTTTTTTTTTAATTATATTTTTCCAACAACTCCTATGGTCCTACCAATTATGAATTATCTGTTAGACCTAAATAGTCTAATTATACTGAATAATAGTATACGAGAGATTTGACCTCGTATAAGAACGGAAACGTAGCCGTGTTGATCTCCAACCACAGTTGATGTTCCTGTTGTGTTGCCTCTTAACGGTAGACCGTTAGCCATTATTTGCCTCATACCTGACTCAGAACCACAGTTGATGTTCCCGTTGTATTACCTCTTGAACGGTAGACCGTTAGCCATAGTTTGCCTCATACCTGACTCAGAACCCTATATGGTGTATTGGTGTCTATTGAGCAGTATGAGTACCGTAACTGAATGTGTTATATCATTAATCATCCTGTATCCCATCAATCCAGGACTATATTAGGCACATAGTTTGATGGACTAACAACTTCTAATTATTCAGTCCAACCAGAGCACTTAATAAGTCTAGTCTTATATATTATTATGGAAAATCTTACATTATCTTCTTCTCATATCTCATTCAATTTAGATTTTGAAATTGGAGTTGAAGGTTAGCTTTGTGGGATACGGAATCTAAATTTCTTATTATGTTTTTATGCTTTTGGCTTGTATTGTGAATATAAGAAATTTGTGTGTTTTTTTAGACTTGGTATTTTGACTTTGATATTTGATGTGACTTTTGGACTTATTTGTATTATTTTTATGGTCGATATGTAGTTTGTTTCGTTATTGTTTATGAGCATAGACTATTTCTTGTTCACGAACAAATTATGATTATAAACATAGACATGTGTTTGTTTGTTTAGTGCTCGTGAACGTGTTCATTAATATTAATGAACACGTTCACGAACGTAAATGAACACTAAAACAAACGCTTAATAAACGGACACAAATATGAACATGAACACTCTAAAAATCTTAACAAATGAACACAAAAACCTCTAATCATTTGTGTTTGATTCGTTAACAGTCATAGTTTCATCGAGAGAGTACTGACAAGAGTCGAACTAAGAAAACAAACAATGATTTTCTATTTTTGTTCAATGGGCTAAAGCTATATGAATTTATTAGTGTATAACCCCATAACTTTTGTGAAATTAGTTTGAGCTACCTATGATAAATTATTACCACTTTCAATTATTTAATTATCGTGATATTTTTATTTTTAATTCTTAACTATTAATATGATCAAATATATACTCAAAGCCTTTGTAATACTGTTGTTTTATTTTAATATTCCACCAAGTTTCATTTATACAAGTGATATTTTTACTGGATTGGGTCAACTACAAAAAATAAAATTTGATTAAATTACTGTAATAGTTAAAGGTTAAAAGTAAAAATGTTGCTATAATCGAATTCGATTATAGTAATATTCTCACTTTTAACTATCAATTATTTAATTTATCAAATATACTTTAAAATACCTAAAATATCCTTACTTTTTAGGCGTTTCACACTTTCAACAAGTTTTTATTTCTACAAATGATGGTATTTTGAACATTTTTTTACTGAACTCGGTCCACCGAAAAAAATTGAATTTTTTGATTATTTAATATTTAAATGTTAAAAGTAAAAAATGTGAGAAGATTAAAGAAAGGTGACTGACCCCGCATATTATTCTGTAGATTCAGGTCCACCTTGTAACGTGGGTCCGGATCTAAATGTTCACAATTTGTGTAGTATGAACATAAAATGTTAACATATATGTAATTGATTATCTTGTTTTGTATTTTTAATTTTTTTTTTAAATATTACAGTCACACAATATTAACATATTAAGATTTGATGACCCTGTATTGTATTCACAAATTCTCTTTTGCAGTTATGTATTTTGACTTAAAAACACAATTTATATTCTAAAAATTTGCAACTTCATTATTAAAAATATATAATTTATACGTTGTTTAGGACCAGGTAGACCCTGGTCCATGGTATAACAACTCATTACGTATACATTGGTTTAAAATCTTGGTTTTATTAAACCTAAGGAAAGTATATAAGTAAACACGGTCCTTCATATTTTTCTCCTTCTAATAACGCGGTCATAGCGAAAGTAGCATTAAAAAGTCGGTTTGTTTCCAAAAGTCCATTTTCCATTCCACGTGTTTCTTTGCTTCCCCTCGCCGTCGCATTTCTCTAGCCCCTGTTCCCCGTTCTACTTCTTGCCACTATTCTTGCTATTTATATATTCCTCCTACTCTCTGTCAATGGAGCCAACGTACATTCACTCAGTTGAATGAGGTCTATAACTCTCTCAGAAGAAAACCCAGAAACTGAAAAGTAAAGAAAGGGGAAGAACAGCCTTTTTCATTGTATAAAGGTAGGGTCTTTAGCTTTCTTTTAGGTAATTGTGATACTGGATACAATGGGTTCTCCAAGTTTTTGTGTAGTTCTCTTAGGAGTGGTGGGTTTTTGTGTTTTTTTCTTTTTCTTTAATGGAGGCGGGTAATGGGTTGTTGAATGCGAGAGGTTTTATGTGATTGGCTGGTTGTATGGGCAGTTCTTGGCTATTCTGTTCATATAATGTGTTTATGAATTAGGATGAAAATGCCATTTGATCGAATGGGTATTCAAGAATTTCAAGCATGATTCTTGATTTTCTAGGGAGTGGGTTTTCTTTCTCATGGACCATTTGTTCTGGGTTGTAAAATTCTTCAAATGCTCTGCTGTGTAAAATTCTACTTGGTGAAAATATTGGGTTTTAATGATGTGTTTGCAGCATTGGAGTTTTGGTGTTTTTATTACTTTTACTTTTTCTTGATAATGCAGCTCAATGAATGTTATGTTGTTTGGAGCAATTCTTGAATCTTTCAGTTCTAATTTCTTTGTTAATTACTCATCTTGTGCAGAAATCAAGGTCTCAGCTAGAGATCCATTCAGAACTAAAATGGGGGTATCATTTTCATGCCCACTTTCAACTTACAGTGACCTAGACAACAACCTGGAATCTGTCATTGTGAAGTCTATCAGCTTTGGGGATAATGAGCTTAGGACGCCCGTGCGATCCGTGAGCTTTAAAGGCCAAGATTCAGAACCAACAATATTCCAATCACTTGGTTCTGGGAAGATGATGATGGAACAAGTTGTTAGCTTTACGACGAGTGATAATTTCGCATTGTTCTGTGATAATAGTTATAAAGCTCCTTGTGAGGATAAGTTTAGCCAGTCTGTGACACTTTGTGGGGAGACTAAAACTAATCCCAAACATAATGCAGCTTTAAAGTTGCAGAAAGTGTACAAAAGCTTCCGAACTCGAAGAAAGCTAGCTGATTCTGCAGTGCTCATTGAGCAAAGCTGGTGGAAGCTACTCGACTTTGCAGAACTAAAGCATAGTTCGATTTCATTTTTCGAGATTGAGAAGCACGAGACCGCCATTTCTCGATGGTCTAGAGCCAAGAATCGAGCTGCCAAGGTAAACCCGAACTTATATAATCTTTACTTCTCCAAGTTTGAATAATTTTTAAGATGTTAGCCAACCGGTTTCTTATTCGTGCAGGTAGGCAAAGGCTTGTCGAAAAATGAGAAGGCTCAGAAACTTGCTTTACAGCATTGGCTTGAAGCGGTTGGTATATTATATTCTTACTTTCGTCGTTTCCTTCCCCCCATATTGTAGTGTTGCTAATTTGTCGAATATTTTTGTGTGAAACGTACAGATTGATCCGAGGCATCGTTATGGACACAACCTACAGTTTTACTATGTTAAATGGCTGGATTCTGAAAGCAATGAACCCTTCTTCTATTGGTAAAATTCTTGCTTTTCTACCACAAAGCATAAGAATTGCTTTCATATTACTTATTATGGATATATGTTTTGTATACAGGCTAGATTTAGGTGAGGGTAAGGAGGTCAATCTTGTGGATAAATGTCCGAGATGGAAACTTCAGGATCAATGCATCAAGTACCTCGGGCCCGTATGTCATCTCTCTCGTAGCGTTTACTTTTTCGTTCTATTATTTTTCGTCTTCTAATATGGTTGTTTAATGTTCACCACAGATGGAGAGAAAGGCTTATGAAGTGTTAGTTGAAGATGGGAAACTCTTGTACAAGCAAAGCGGGGAGCTTCTCAACACCGACGATTTAGATGGTGCGAAGTGGATCTTTGTGCTCAGCACCTCGAAAGCGTTGTATGTGGGAAAGAAAACGAAAGGCAAATTTCAGCACTCGAGTTTCTTGGCCGGGGGAGCCACGCTGGCTGCTGGGAGGATAGTTGTCCAAGATGGAATATTGAAGGTAAATTCGAATCGGGATAATGTCTGTTTAATTCCAGATTTCCAGTATTATTGTATTTGCAGTAAGGCAATTATCATATGCTCATTGGGAAAAATTTCGACAGGCTGTCTGGCCACACAGTGGACATTATAGACCCACGCCAGAAAATTTCCAGGATTTCATTTCTTTTCTTGGGGAATATAGTGTTGATGTGAGTGATGTTAAGGTATGAAACTGTTCTCGATCTTCTTTCTTTATTTCTTTCTATAATGCTATAATTTGTTGATTGGTATTGCTTTCGTGTCAATTCAGTTTGATTGTGTTGACGAGGAAGAATCTGGTGTATACCCGAGAAGTAACTCATCAGAAAATGACCTTCCTGGGAAGGGCAACGATACTAAAGACACGGGAGCTTCAGGGATAATCGAGTCGAAAGAAAACGAGAATGTTTCTCCACTGCCACTGCTAAAGTCCAGACTATACCTCAACTTCAGTGGCAAATTGGCCAATCTTGAAATCCCCAGGAATGACGATTTCTTGGAGAGACTTAAGAGTGAAGTTGAAGTATCATCCCTTCCCGTTGAGCAACTAAACAATGCTAATTCTTGTGGAGAAGTTGAAACCGACAAATGTGAAGAAGAAGAAGAAGGCATAACGGAAGAATCAATCCTGGAGAGAATAAACTCACACAATAAGGCGAAATCGTATCAGTTAGGGGAGCAATTATCGTGCAGATGGAGTAGTGGGGCAGGACCCCGGATTGGTTGCCTGAGAGATTATCCGTCTCAGCTGCAATCCCACGCTTTAGGACAAGTAAGCTTGTCGCCTAGAAGCACTTGGCGTTTACGCCTCAACTCCTCCCCTTCAAGGGCATATACCCCTCCTATGAGCTTGAGCAGACTAACACTCATGCCTTGTAGCCTATCTCCCTTGCCAAAAATGGATCTTTCTCAGATAATGAGTCTCCATTCTAGATGGCCTTCCTCTCCATCATGTAAAGGGATTGCAGTAATTTAACAAATCACTTGTTTATTCTTTAACATTTTTTCATAGGAAATTCTTTCACAGTTTTGTATACAATTCAGTAGCATATATTCTTGTACAATTTTATTTTTTTTTTTCCTTTTGGTAGTTTTAGTACCCATGTAATGTGGTGATAAATGGAAAATCCATTCTTTGTGGCTTTTGCAGAGAAGGTTTAGATGAATTACAATCTTTTTACTTCTTTTTTTTATGGGGTGTTTGGTAAATAGCTGTTAGATGATTGAGTTTGTGGTTTTAACTAGTTGATAACATTAGCTGATTGTAGAAAAGTGTTTGGTAAATTAGCTCTTAGTTGATAGTTGATTACATGCAAAATGATTTTCTCAAAAAGCTGCTTTGAGCAGCTTTTTGAATTTTAGCATTTTGCAGCAATAAGCTGTTACAAAAAGTTAATTAATCAAACACTCATGTTGATTGTTTAACCAAGTCAAACAACTAATAGTGGTCAAATAAGTCATGTTACCAAACAGGGCCATATGTTCATGGCCGGATTTTAGGACCTAATTAATTGAGCATGACAAAACCATTCTGTAACTGAAAAGAAGAGTCTCACACACACACACACACACACACACACACACACACACACACACACACACACACACACACACACATATATATATATATATATATATATATATATATATATATATATATATATATATATATATATATATTCTTATTGACAATTAAACTCTGCAATAAAAAGTATTTTGAATATTATGACTTGGTCTAAAGTCTACTTGCTTAGATAAGATGCAAATTGAAGTTGAGAAGTGAAAGTAGTAAAAGTCTGTGTTTGAAGTATTCTAGTTTTTGTGTTTGCAGACTTGACAGAGCTGCAGCATATGTATGCTGTTTTTTCAACCCTTTGATTCATTTTGCTTGACTGCAACTCTATATCCATTATTATTTTTCTGTATAAGTTGCTTATTTTTAATTCTAGTAACCTTATCAATATTGTTGTAGTTGTCTTGTCAGTTGTCACTATGTGATTTTGAAGTCAAAATTTAAATTTCAAAAACTACTTCTTACCAAAACTAATATAGTTGTCACAATGATGAGTGTAACTTGTAAAATTAAATTTTTGTCACATATTTTGATTTTATTGAATAAAGAAACCAAATGAAATAAAAAAGGGGAAATGTTGAGTGATATTTCTTATTTTTATTTTTTTTTTACAGGAAAATTCATGACCAATATTCAAGGGTGCGCACATGATGAAAATCCATCTCTAAGGCTCAGTACAAGATTCTAAATGTGTTTCAACTGAGAGGTCAATAGACTGTGAGTCAAATATGTAACCTGAGATTGCACTACTCAACTAACTCAGTTGGAGGTGAAGCTCCCAAATGTGCAATATCTTTTCCTAAAAGTGAACTTTGTATGTAGCAAAAATTGAATTCTCGAAAATATTATAGAAAATAGTCCGAATAAAATAAACCATTCCTATAAATTACGCATATATTAGTTAGTTTTGGTTTATGTAGTGATCTGATCCAAGTGTTATGGTTGGAAAATGAATATTCAAAGCATAAGTTTCAGAGAAACCGAGTGATGCAGTTCCCACTTGCCAGACATTTTCCCCATCATTCCGTGTAGCAAGTAGCCTGCCAGCTAGCCACCCTTCAATCATATTTTCAATAACTTTTTTTCTTTTTAATAATTCAAACTTCTCGACATATCTGACTATATCATAAACTTTATAAACCTAACTCAAGTCTATGTGAATGTAAGTTAAATCAATCTAGTTTCAAAACTCAATATCAAATTATACACTTCTGCGCGTAAAGAGCTCATCTCAAATCTAAATCTCTAATATTTGTGATTGAAAAGTGAAAACGAATTGAACTTCCACCTATTGCTAGAAGCAAATTTAAGTAAGATTTGAGTATCACATTTTCGATTCTCAAGCCCTAATTGTACCTAAACACAAAGTTTATCTAGTATGTCTTTTGGTATGTACATATAGTCATATATATCAATGCCACAATACGATTTACTATCTCTACTATATCATCATACAAATATCGATCTTTGTAAAGGTAAGTCATGCTCAATTAATATGATTTATATTTACAAACCAATGCCATACTTATTATATCCTCAAGAGTATGTTATTGTTATAAATCTAATTTATATATTTGGAGAAAGTTTCCAGCATCAATCAGTATCGGTACCGTTTGGACTAAGTACAACGTTACTCAAAGGTACGGTGAATGAATTTTATTAAAAAATTTATGAGTATTGAAGATATTGTCCTCATAATGTCCATACAAACTTAAAATTTCATCCAGAACCTTTTTATGCATATCGGTGCGAGAGGTATCGATATATATATATATATATATATATATATATATATATATATATATATATATATATATATATATATATATATATAGGGTCAGGTTCCAGTGCGGACAGTGCTTCACGTGCGGTTACTCACCATTAGGTGTGGTGTATTGGTGCAATTCATTGTGACACATTTCTGAACATTGTGTGGTGCATTTTTTTCATACCAAAAGGTGAATTCACAATATATATATATATATATATATATATATATATATATATATATATATATATATATATATATATATATATATATATATATATATATATATATATATGTGTGTGTGTGTGTGTGTGTGTGTGTGTGTGTGTGTGTTTAGGATCGGGTGCGAAGGTTACTTCCAGTGCGAAAATGCGGTTAACCATGAGCAATGACTCTCTTAAAAGAAATTCTATACGAAATGTGCATTTGAAAGCTCAAAATCATGCACTTGAAGGTACAAAAATGTGCACTCGAAGGCAAATAGATGTGCAATTGATGTAATTTATGGTATCAGAAAGAAAAGTTATTCAACTTAAGTGTTATTAAAGCAATTACCCATACAAATCGTTTGTAAATCTCACAAATTTAATTAGAAATTTAGTTATATGTTATTGAAAAGAATGCAAAAGATATAACAAATACGGACCTAAAATTGTGCACTTAAAGGCAAAAAATGCACTTAAAGGCAAAAAAATATGCACTTGAAGGCCATATGGGGACAATCCAACCTTCCAATCCCCCAATATTGTGACAAATATTTTTCATATTTGGTTTAGAGAACTTTTAAATGTTCTAGACTCTGATGGAATAACATATGCAGCAGCAATTCTATATCATATTTGGAGAGCACGGAACGGAGCGGTTTGAGAAGCTTTTCTTATGCGACTGAGGACATTACTTGCGGCAGCCACCGCCACCATGCAAGCATGGCGTCGAACCCGGCTCACTCACGACGCCTGAATGCCACCGGAGCAGCCTGCTACGACCGAGAGACCGCCACTGCCACATGGACAGCTAGCCGCGCCTGCTGTTACGCACGTCATGCCACCACTGCGGGTTTGCCGTGTCGACGCTGGATTCCTCCACGACACGGGCAAGGCAACGGTAGGAGCAATTTTCCTCAATATAAATGGAGGATATGTTGCAGCGTTCAGTGCACCGTTCACGGATTGCTTTTCACCACTTATGGCCGAGGCGTTCGCATGCAAGGAAGCCTTATCGTGGTTAAAGGATTGGGGCGAGCGGTCAATAGAGCAATACACAGATTGCCTGACACTACAACGTTATCTTACTTCCCCACCATCTACAGTTCGTTCCTACATCGGCTATGCTATTGATAGCTGCAGAGCAGGTACATCTTTGTTTGATTTCTGTTCGTTTAGATTTATACCTAGATCAGATAATTATTTAACATATACTTTAGCATCTACAACATTCCAGCATCTTACTGCTATGTATTGGGATCTCTTCCCACCTGACATTATTGAGGCTTACTTCTAATGAAATTACCCCTTATTATTTTCAAAAAAATATGCACTTGAAGGCAAAACATCTGCAGTCAAAGGCAAAAAATATGCACTCGTAGGTAAACATGCACTTGAAGACTACAAACCGTGCACTTGAAGGCTGAAAACATGCACTTGAAGACTAAAAACATACACTAGAAGGATTCACTGAAATGGAAAGTATTTTTTTTTACACAATAGTAAGACACACATACACTTGTAGGCATGAAATTGAGCATTTGAAGACATAAAGATGATCACTAGAAGGCAAGGGAGGAAAAAAAAAAGACACTAAAAGAGAAAATTCGAAGAAAATTAATTGTGCACTCTTAGAAATGAAAGCGTGCACTTGAAGGTCGTTACAAAACGTATACTTGAAGGAAAAAATTGGTTCAATGGAATGCTAATTTTTTCTTTTTACACAATAGTAAGACATACATGCACTTGTAGGCATGAAATTGAGCACTTGAATACACAAAGAGGATCGATCACTAGAAGGCTCGGAAAAAAAGACACTAAAAGTGAAAATTCAAAAAAAATTAATTGTGCACTCTTAAAAAGGAAAACATGCACTTGAAGGCTACAAAACGTGCACTTGAAGACAAAATTTTTGCACTAAAAGGCACAAAGATGTGCACTCAAAGGAGCAACTATGTACTAAAAAAAATAGATGCACTCGAAGAATAGAAATATGCATTTGAAGAAGGAACATGTGTACTCGAAGAAGAAGAAATGTGCACTCGTATATAAAAGACAAGCTGGCTTACTTACTCAAAATTACAATTATACCACCACACATTTTTTAATTAATATTCCATCTGGGTTGTTGATTTGGACTATATCTACAGTCAGCAACTTGCGCATTTTTTACATGGAGAAGCATTTGCATTTGATATATATATATATATATATATATATATATATATATATATGTATGTATGTATGTATAGGGATGCACTCAGGTGCGAATAAGTGCCCAGTAAGGAATATGCGAACGAATCAGCGCGCGACACGTGTCCAGATCTAATAACTTTAAAAAAAATGCGATGACATTTTCGTAAATAATTGAACATGGAAGTGCAAGTAAAATCACTTACAAGTGCACCTACTTTCACCTATAAGTGCATGTAATTTTGCCTTGCTAGCATTCACTTCCCGCAACCATTCATGCACCTGGGTGTGCTTATAACTATAGCAGCAACTATTTATAACTATAGGTGCAACTACTTATAACTATAGGTGCACCTACTTTCACCTATAAGTGCATGTAATTTTGCCTTGTTAACATTCATTGATCTGAGTTCAGCGGGTAGTAATACCCCTGAAAACCACCCGCAAACATTCATGCACCTAGGTGCAACTACTTATAACTATGTGTGCAACTACTTAGAACTATAGGTGCAACTACTTATAACTATAAGTGCACTTAGTATTGATGCTCAGAGTAAATTTTTACTTGCACCTACAATACATTTTACATGCAGTTGTAATACATTTTACTTGCACTTCGATGTTCAATTATTTACGAAAATGCCACCGCGCTTTTTAAAAAAATCAGTGTTTCTCATCCATTAGATCTGGACACGTGGACGGACAGAATCCATTCCTATTTCGCGCTTGAGCGAAGCATTCGCACCTGAGTGCGATTATATATATATATATATATATATATATATATATATATATATATATATATATATGAACATATAAAATATTTATTTAAGATGATGTAATGAAAGGAAGTTGTGGCTCATTCACCAACACTCTTTTAAAATCAAAAGAAATGACACAGAGCTAACTGTGGAGACAGATGAAAATTGGATGGGAGTATTAAAATGGAAGAAGTGTACTTCCATGTTTCTTTAGAAAGCATTTAGCAGTGGACATGTAAGAAAGCTAGCAGTTGTGGGCACATGATAAGTTAGATCAAGATGCACAACACACACCCATAATTAATATTAGTTTATATATTAATGATTTATGAATGCTGTGGATGATGTTTCTTTGTTTGTTTGTTTTTATAATTATTATTGTATCTGAAAAGGTTGACAGTTGACATAAACAAAAATGGTACTCTCCGTACTTACAATTATTTATGCACCATTAATTGAGTAATAAAATTATGGGTAATATAATCTCACTTCTTTTTGTTTTTGTTTTTCTTTTTTTTTTTTTTAACAAAAATATGTCACAGTTTTTATTATTTTAATTTTATTCTGTTAATAAAATCATAACACATCACATAAATTTTACTCATTGAGAGTTCATATATAACAATTTTTCCTTTATAATGTTGAAAAATATTTACAATGTGAAGGCAGTATATTAAGAATATTTTTTTTTAAAAATGAATATTGGTATATCATTTCTTGGAGAGTAAATACCCCAAATGGTCCCTCGACTATAGCTAAATTCACAAATTGATCCTCGACTTTCAATTTCAACCAATTAACTCCTTAACTTTGTAATTTTAACACAATTTGGTCCTCTGTCTATTTGACCGTTTGTTGGCTGTGATTTTTGAAGATAGATATATACTTTTATGATCCATAGTCGATTTTTTAAGGTTCCGATTGCATTTCCAAACCGCACTGTTAAATTCGAATCCACTTCTGAAAGCAATCTACCAAATCCGCTCGCCTTTCTTCATCCTCCCTTTGGATTCAATGTAGTTGAGTTCGTACCAGAGCGAAGAAGACGACGTGTTTCCGAACTGGTGCAACGTCATCCTGGAGGCCTCCACGTGCTCCGACGAGAGCTGAGGGTTCTTCTGGAGATCGTCGATCACGGTCAACAAACGGTCAAATAGATAGAGGACCAAATCATGTCAAAATTGCAAAGTTAAGGACTTAATTGGTTGAAATTAAAAGTCAAGGACCAATTTATGAATTTAACTATTGTCGAAGGACCATTTTGGGTATTTACTCTTTCTTGGAGATCCCACAAATACATTCATTATTGTGGATACCCTAAAATGTGAGTGATGTAGGGAGGGGAGGTCATGCCAGGTTTGCAGTACCATGATGTACTGTGATACTGTCAGGGATCAAAAACATGGGACTGTTAAAAGTACAGACAAAAAACATGAATGAGATCAGAATATAATCTGCAAAATAAGCAATTATAACTTCATGGATTGTTGGTTAAGTTCATGAATTTGTCCATTATGGGGAGCAAATCTAACTGGCAATTCCAAGCAGAAGCTTCAGTTTTAATATTTTTTTTTTATTATTAACTTTTACAAAATAATTATTTCAATAAAATCATAGGCGTTTGGTAAATAACTGTTAGCTGATTGAGTTAGTGACTTTGATTAGTTGATAATATTAGCTTGAGTGTAGAAAAATATTTGGTAAATTAGTTGTTAGCCAATACTTGATTACATGCAAAATGACTTTTTCAAAAAGCTAATCGAAAAAACTGTTTTAAACATCTTTTTGAATTTTTAGCGTTTTGAGACAATAAATTAATATAAAAAGCTAACTATGTTACCAAACATAGTCATAATCTATTCTCTCTCAATCGCATCATATAAAACAATTCAAATAACCGAAGCTCAATATTCATAAATATATAGAAATTATACAATTCATCCAATTCAAACTTTTGCAAGTGGTTCCAATAATTCCTTAGCTTATTTGTTCTTAATGACACCATGTTCTGTTACTTATTTATTGGTAAAATTTGGATTATGGACTATTTATATTTAATTTGTTGCTCTTCTGGCTTGTAAAAGTTATGTTTCCCAATGATTGGTGTCAATCTCTAAAGTATTTTAATGTATTTATCATTTTTCTTTATTACATAAATTGATAAATATTATAGATTAAATTCGAGTAAAATTATTGATTTCATATACTGATATACATACATGTGATACAAGACTTAACGGCAATTGCGATCTGAGTATAATTCTTTGGATTTTCAATTTTCTTTCATGTTTTTGGGTAAAAGCATATAATTAAGCTACATCCTAGAGTTATCTTTGACTCTTATTATTAGAAGAAGATTAGAGAATCTTAAAATAATTTGTTATGGCCTAGGAAGTGCTACAGTTATAGCTTAATAAAATATGCTCATGAAATCTAGAAAGATTATATTGTGTTTTCAACTAGCAATTCAGACAATGTACTCTACTTACTCCACGAAGGTTAAAATTATGTACTTGTAATTGACCTATTATGTACTTTCTATCATCATATTATGGACCTATAAATAAACGGAAGGTATATAATATATTAACGGCGGACACATAATATATTAATTGTAATAGCTATATAATTTACTAATTGAAAGTACGTGTTGGGCGGAGGCGGATGAAGGATCAAAACCAACAATTGGTGGCTAGAGGAATTGTTGGGCGGAGGCTGGTGGAGGACTAAGTCCAACATCATGACTCTAAAAATGTAGCGGTATATAAAGAAATAAAGCTGCGTATTCGCTCTGAACTATAGCTTTTACTCCTTTTAGTGATAAGCGCTTAATAATAACACTTGGTATTAGAGTCAGAGATGATGTCATGTGTGTTCAAATCTGTGCATCTGGCATTGGGACCATAACATCAATAATACTGCATGACTTTGCAACAAAGAAACATTACACAAACATATATAATGCAGAGATTTTGATGAATACAAAGGTACCTTGAATTATATATTTGGGAAGTATTGCAATGAGAGCTGGCAGTGGCAGTGCTAAATCAAAGTGCAAAACCCCTAATCTTTTTTGGATTTGGAGTTGCATTATTATTGTACGGATTTGGTTGCTTACCTAATTTTGTAGATTTCTTGAAAGAGAGGATTATTGTGTAGTCTACATCCTTTGCACATAGTGGATAATGGAGTGTTAATGACTCTACATGATCTGTAGACTCATCTTCCCTTCATACCATTATTGATGATCCCATAATGTCCACCTACTTGCACTACTCTTCATGGAAGACTCATGTTACATGCCCCTACATAACCCTCCTAATATTTACCCTATGATGTGACCAATGTTGCAAGAGGCGTTAGACGCTAGTCGGACATCTGGAGGTGGCTAGATGCCACTTAGGCGGCCGAATAATATGAATATATTGTCTCCACTTTTTCTACTTAGGAATAGAATTGTTAGACTGTTATAATCCCCTAAACTAGTCAACTGCATATATTAAATGATTAATTGAGTACATGGCTAGAGAATATAGAAGATGAGTAACCGAGCAAGTATAAAAAATCATTCAACCGAGTTGAGCGCAAACTCGGCCGAGTTGGTGTGGTCAAGTTAGGCGCCCAACTCAGACTAGTTAGGTGTCCAACTCGGCGCCTAGGATGCCTAGTCAACCGGTGAACTAAAAGTCACATAGGGCTAAAATTACCTCGGCTTAGGAACGCCTAGCACCTAGTCGGCGCCTAGGCCGATTTTTACAACACTAGATGTGACATTACTTATTTGTATTTGATTACAAGTAACTTCAAATTTAAAAAAAAAAAAAAAAAAAAAAAAAAAAACTTGAGATCAACTAATTTGTGACCAATGAATATAAGGAGTTCTAATGATTGCTATGATAATTACTTATTAGTTCAGTTACAATGAATATTTATTTTAGATTATTTCTAATTTTAAACTCTCATTTTCTATTTTAGTTCTCAAGTTTAATCAAAATCAATTGATTATTGAAAATGTACTACTTCTAAAGGAGGGAAATATAAGCAATTTTACTTATTGATATATACCCTTCATTTTTAGTATATTAAAACTTCGCCTTCCAAAAATGCATAAGCCCACCAAACATAAGGTTCATTTCTAATACAGAATATATTAAACGCTTATTTTTAGTGTATTGAATGTTTATTTTTAAGTATACTACTTTAAAAAAAAAAAAAAAACAAAAAACAACAACAACAACAAAACAAAAAAAAAAAACAAAAACAAAAAACAAAAAAACAAAAAAAAAAAACAAAAACAAAAACAAAAAATGAACACAATTCAACTTAATGAACAGAGTATAAATGAATACAATACATTTCACACATTGACAAGAACTCAAAAAACATACCAAAAAATAGAGAACTTCATACAACAACAGAACACATGAAGTTCAATTCCAGATTTCCTGTAATAATTATTATATCATTAAGCATATTTTGCCAATTAATGACCATTTAAATGCTACTGCCGTGTGGGAATACGAAATATTTTTGCTAGAGAAATCCCTCTTGAGGGGATGATGCATCAAGCTTCCTCAGGTTGGAATCAAGCACTGAATGTCTCATAGGAAACAATTCATTTTGATACCCATATTGCAGATACCACCTTGCAATGAATTTGTTAATGTAGATGTCCATAACACCCAAGCATAAACTAGCATAGTGACAAACTAAAGTTTACCTTTAACAATGCCAAGCTAAAATAGGCTCAAATGCCCACCACCAAGCTGCTTCCAAAAGCCATAATTGATGCCTAATAAACTGAAGAAACTGCAAAAGGATTTGTAAAATCACAAACTTAGAAGAGACCAGTAGCAATTAAATTCAGGAATAACCAAAACTTTTAATCACGTATCTACCTTGGCAGCATGAAATGAATCATCTGAAGTGGCTCAATGTATTTCTTGCGATATACAAGCAGCAACTTATAAGTTAACTATCTCATCTTTGCAAGAAATTCCCAACTTAAAAGATAGATTAAAGGATTAGCTGCTACTACTCTAGGTCATGCTGCTTACAACATTCCATGAGTAAGCAGCCTCTCCTTGTTGGGAGCACAGGCAAGAGAATTTTTTGTTGTTGTTGTTGTTTTTTTTTTTTTTTTTTTTCTGGACAATCACTTTAGAACCTGCAGAAAGCTTCTCATGCTGAATAAGATTGAGTATACATGTGTGCCCACTGGGTCTGAGTGGGGTCATCAATTTACCTGGCAGCATCTCAGAAGTGAAACATCATTGGAACTGCTTGCATTCATACAACTCTTAACTGTTTGTTTACACTTTACAGTGATGTACTGAAATAGGAGATACACTGTGACACTGAACAATAGAAATCTTCCACAGAAGATGCAGCATAATATGCCTCTACAATCCCGAATGAGGGGGAAAAGTGTGGAAAGCGTTTCATTTGATCTTGTTCAAGTGAGTATTTTATCTTCAGAATGCCAAAGTTCATGTACACAGTCATTAGTCAATTCTGTTCCACCTAATACTTGAATGAATCCAAGAAAAGACCAAGAGTGAGTCCAGTCTTCCAATAATTGAGCATGGTAATCAGATCCTTTACCTTATCTACAAAAGGAGAGAATGTTTTGTACATGAGAGCCCCAATGCCCTCCACTACGACCACTGCCAGTGCAGCAGAAAGAACATCCCAGTCACCAGTCTGCCCAATTACTGTGGCAAATGCCGTTGCAGAATAAAAGCCAATTAACAAAAGTAGCAACTTCATGGGAAGATTTGTCATCAACCCTTTTATTCTTGCATTCAGTTTGACTTGAAAAGATTCAATGGCCCTAATAAGTCGAGTTCTATTGCCGTTGTCATTGGTGGGAGAAGAATTCAGTCCTCTGCCATCTGCACTACTTCTAACCAACCATGCAATCCTCCTAAACAGATGAGATTGGACAAGTTTCAGTTGCCAATTCCATACAAAATGATCACTCACAGAAAAGAAGTGTATACTTCACCATAGATTCAGTTTATCAGTAAGCAACATGTTTCAAGGTCAACCAGAAAGATACAATGAAAAAATTCACAACTCCCAACAAATTCTAGTAACTAGTAACATATGTCACATTATTGTTGATTTTCTCTGAGAAGGGAAGGGTAGGAAGGAGAGAGAAATTTACCCATACTTGTTGATTGAAGTAGGTTGTCCCCAGTTACAAGCAGAATATGATAACTGAAAATCCATCATTCTAGTGAGTGATGAAGGTTTCTCAAGGAAAACAACTTCAACACTGGGTCTGGAGTATTTATGAGCTAAAAGCTTGGAAGTTGCAGGACAGCCATATGAACGAATATTGGTAACCATACTGGAAGTAACCTGCAGACATAACTTTTAAGAGTTAACTCAGGCTCAGAACTACTGACAGTGGTACTTGTTTTTGTATTTTTTTTGTGCCACTATACTATAATTACTAGATAATTGTCTGACATATGAACATACTTAAACTTAAAAGCAAAGGAACTAAAATTCCCTTCCAAATAAAAATAAGAGAGAGAGCTTCAGCTCAAAGCAAAGTGAAACCATTGATATCATATTCAAATGCAAAAACTTAGCTATCCACTGAGGTGAAGGATATCAATACTAGCACTAAATGATGCATGCAATGTGACAGATTACAGTATAGAGTAGAATGTTAGGCAAAGGAAGTTTTACACCCAAACATCTGCTTTAATTCTAAACATTCAAAATTCTGGAGAAAGAAAATTTAATCATAGTTTTTGAGATTTTCCCGCCATGATTGCAAACTGGCTCCAACTACAAATCAATACAGTGCCACAAATCTCAGAATATCAGCTGCAACTTGGAGGGTAATTGATGGTTAGCACAAGTTTCCTAAATCAGTGGTGCAACTAAGAATTTTGCTTGGTTATGTCAGAATTCTAAATGAAGCAGTCAGGTGGCTTCAAGCTTGCCAAGCAAATTAAATTATGAATGCCATCGATTAGCATCCCCCTTCAATTTTGTTCCTCTTTCCTAACAAATATGATTATGCAAACAAACGTTGATTCCCAGACCTAGAATTGGCCAAGCATATTCACAAATCTTAACGACTTGTAAATGTTCTCACATATCATAATAATCATCACTAACTTTCATAAAATGCAAAAAAGACATGCTTTTACAAACTCTTAAAAGAGTAACAACCTAATTTTAAAAAGCAAACCATTGAGTTCAAAAGATAACTAATTCTGGAATCTCCTTTCAGTGAAATGATCATAAATGCAAATAAAGCCCACGAAGAGCTCTCGACTATCAACGTGTAGGTGGGAAAATTCGTGAATAGGGGGAAAGAACAGCATCTTGCACATATATCTTGGAGTTATTGGGATCAGGGACCCAACGAATCTCACTCATGTTTGGTGTCTCCACAAAGGCCATGGTAAACTCTCCCACCTTTTCAGCCTTACCTCTCTTGCCAGCCCTCAATACAAGAGCATTGCGGTTGTAAGAGAATATGCCACTTGACAGAGTAATAATATCACCAGGCTCAAATTGATCACACTCATCACCCCACATCTGAAAATGAACAGCTGCAGTCTCATCAGCCACTAACGCCAAGCATGTCTTTTGTTGTGCATCTACTCTTCCTTTGTCTAAAACTATGAATTTTGTGTTTATATTGTTCAATGCAGCTGGTACAATGTCTTTCAAAAATTGCATCCTTTAGCACTATGAGGCAGTAATTTTCTGCAAATCAAAATTCTTTTCAAGTATTTACATTATTATTTTGATAGACACGTAGAAGTTAATTAAATAAACAAAAAATAATAATATACAGAAATTCAAACCATGACTAGAGTTTCCCTTTTAAGTTTTTGAGTGCTGTTTGTTTTTCTATTTTCTCTTGAAAGTGATGTATCCAAGCTCAGTGAGCTCAATTCAAAAGTGCAATATAATATTAGAGCCAGAACATTCTTGTACTAAGGACCAGAATCACAGGCAAGCCATACAGCCAATAACGAAGAGGAATCCAATACGGGAGAACACCAAATATAACGGAAACCCAGTGTTCCCTAAACTAATCCCAAGCATAGTACTCCATATGCAAAGATTAAATTCTCTTTATTCACAAGTTCCTGTTCCCCACAACCATCAATCTCCATTCCGGAACTGTTTGAGGCTTTGAGCTCATTCACCTCCCCTCCAGAGGGCTAAAGTCTATCTATTTCAAAAGTTTGTTCCACAAATGCAATATTAACAGTTTGCAGCTTATACTTACTCAACAAGAAAGACATAAATTCAAAGCTAAAACACAAGTGTTTGGGCACAACAAAAATATGAAAATCAAGATTTTCTCCCAGGATAGCATGTATATAATGAAAGAATAATAAAACAAAGGAATTTATTTTTTTTTGTATGTATTTTATTAAATTCGTGAAAGCTAATTTAACTGACGTAGCATTCAAATTCAACTGACAGCTAAATTAATTTTCCGGGGAAATAAACATAATTTTTTTTTTCTTCACACGATGCAAAATATGAATGTAAGAAACTGGGCATTAAAAAGCAAAGATTACCGTAATCAATTATTTTGAAGGGGAAAAAACAAAAAAGACAAGTAAAGGAATATTGTTTTTTCCGTTATACGAAATAAAACAATGAAAATAGGAAATCAAGCAAGGAATCAAACCTCGAAGTTCTTGGAAAGCAGTCAGAACATGAATGTGTGGAAAGCAGGCAGAAAACCCTAAGCTTCGCGATTATGAAGAAGAGGTGAAGTTCGACACTCGCTGTTGATGCGAAGATATGGATGGAGAGAAATACGGCGGCAAGCGGCAGGTACTGAGGGGCGGAGGAGAGAGGAGCGTACGACCTAACGACGCACGATGATCGAACTGAAGAAGGCGGCAGAAGAGAAGTGACATGGTAAGGAAAAGGGTGCGTCTGGGTCGTAGCAATTTTAAAGGAAGAATGATTTTTCAAATTGTCTTAATAAAACTATACACGCACATAAGAAAAGAGAACTCACCGGCGGAGCGTCGGAGAAGTCCGGAGTGGCGGAGAGGAGAAGAGCTCACTAGCTCACTATTCTACCGCCCGGTCCGCCGCTAAATTTCACTGTGGCGGAGTGAGATATCACATACCATGATTAGAGGTTGTCATGGTCCGATTCAAGGTCAAATTAGTCTTAAATCAGGCCAAAAAAAAAAAAAAAAAACCAAAATGAGTTAGTTTCACCGGATTTGAGTGGCGTTTAACCCAAATCTGAACTGGATTATAGAAGGCCGGTTCAAGTTCTTTAAAAAAAAAATAGCTCGGAACCCAGCACAAAATTGATTCAGGCTCTGGTTTGAGTACAACCTAGGTCCATAACTAGTCCAAACACGGTCCAATTTCGGACAAAATTTAACATAGACTTTATAAATTATAATACACTTTATAATATTTATAATTTAAAGTACCAATAATCCATCAAATTTCAAATAGCATAGTATTATGTCAATAATCAAATAAATATGCAATATCTCACCTCCAAACACTTTCAAAATTTTAAATTTCTAACCAATTTTATTCCTAAACCTAGATTTTATTTCATAAGATTTCATTAACCTAGACTCCCAAAGGTTCTTACTGCTATGATATCACTTTGTATCAAAGGATTCAGAGTCTAATTAATTCTATTTCATATGCCCAATATTTTTCACAACCTAGGCTTCGAAAGGTTCGTACCGTTATACCACTTTGTATCAGAGCCTAATCAATTTTATTTCCTATGTCGAAGATTTCACCACCTAAGCTCTGATACCACTTAACTATTCCTGAACAGATAGGAGGCCTGCAATTACTAAGAAGCTTGTTGCTTTAATTTGTAACAATAACTTTGAAAGAAGTATTCCTTCAGAGATTGGAAAACCTAATTTTTTGATTCAATTTCAGTTTGACCCAAACCTCACTTATGATTTTGCTTTAGGAACTGGTTGTGTAAATAGAAAATTTGGGGACTGCATCTGGCATGTAAGCTAGAATTCATTGAGGAAAGTCGATTTTTTGCTGACATCTATAAAAGTGGTGCTGATACGTTACCTCAATGTGATCTTAGTTTTCAATCTTGGAAAGGAATTTTTGCACTAAAATACCCGCGGCTACTCGGATGATCTGCCAAGTTCGCCTAGCCCGCACATAATCCACACTCTAAAGAGTCCACATAACCCCACACGAGTACACGACGCAAGTTACTTGAAGAATCAAGTAACATTGTTGCTGCTCCTGCCAATGGTGGGGCGCCATTAGGCAATCTTATTGCTCAGCCAAGCAGCATAAGTAGTGATATGTTCCTAGTTGTGCCTGGGAATATCGCATCATCTCTTGCAGCATCACCCCCTCGAACTAAACAATAAGAAAATGGAAGAGGCTTTGGTGCTGATCAAGAAGAAACTGATATTCAAGCTTCAGATTTTGGAAAATATCGACTTAGCTGGAAGTATATAGTAGGCATTTTTGTGGAGTTCTCTTACTCATCATTATTATAGTAATCATTGCATTTGCAGAAGTAGAGCAGCAAGGTTCATTGGCCCTTCAAAGACTAGATTGAGGGGACAATTGCAGAAAGCATTTGTTATAGGGTACTCTGTCAAGTGGAATTGAGATCGTTGTTGCTTCAACCGCTATATATTCTATGAAAGACTAGCTCATATGGGCAGAAATAGCCTTCAGGAAGAAGATTGATACAAGAAGAATTTTGTTAATCCCATTGGCTATTGTGAGGAGGACAATCTAAAATCCGAATGGAACTCTTTTCGAACATCTACATGTTCAAGAAGTTGAACATCTCGACTGGAATACAAGGATGAGAGTTATAATGGGGGACCACATATTGTATCTAGTATATGCACATTTTAAATTCATTGTTGCCTCATTCAAACATCAGTTCCAAAATCATATACTTGACATATGATTATGCTTCTAAGATTGCAGGTGAGTTTTTGGGAAAAACTGGCAACCAAGTCAAAATCAGGAGAAAACGAAGAGAATTCTGAACTGTCGACGCTTGCTGACCCCGAAACAAACATCTACTATACAGGTTTGGGCTTGTGTTACTGGAAATAGTTACTGCAAAACTACCTTACTCAGAAGAGCAAGGCCCTCTTTTCAACTGGGTTGTGCAATACCTGAGCAACAGCTAGAACTACAGCCAATTGGTTGACCGACGTTGAAGTCTTTCAACGAGGATGAGCTAGCAGTGGTGTTTGGGGTAATCTAGGAATGCGTTCGAAAAGACACCAGTAAGTGACCAACCATCAAGGAAGTGATAGAGAAGCTAAGGAAAGTCCTCGATATCTCCCCTAAGGCTGCAGTTCCCAGGCTGTCGCCGCTCTGGTGGGCTAAACTCGAGATCTTATAAGCTGAGGCGCCTTAGTCCTCCCTGCATATTACCCGGTTTTTGTAAGTGAAAATGGATTGCTTAGCTTTAACAATGTGAATATATGTATGCACACAATCTCAAAGTGAAAACATATCATATGATCACATTTGTATGTATTCTTCTTTCTTATTGTCATTGTAAAAGGTCTTATAGTACACACATTACTGTAGTGCTACTATTGGTGTGAATATTCATTTAGAATTGGTATGTAACATAAAAAAAAAAGCTCTGATAACACTTTGTATCAGAGTCTAATCAATTCTATTTCCTATGTCCAATATTTTGCAACCTAAGCTCTTATATCACTTTATAACACAAAGTGACCCAAAACAGAAACGAACCTAACCTCCGATAGTACTTTGTAACACCCCCATTTTTAAACCCAGAATAAATTATAACCTCCATTAAAATTGCAAAAGCGTAAACCGCTCAAAACGAAAAATATGAGTGCTACCGCCACATCTAGGTACCTACCTGTACCCAAACGCAAGGCTAAACTAGGATTTTGAATTCAGATAAGAATCTCGTACATTTTTGTATTCACAAAAGTGAATCAATTAGACCTAAAATGAAATGAATATCTTTGGATTCATTGATAATTTATAGGTCTAATGGTTACGTTGTATCCTCTATTCAGTGAGATTCGAATGAGGTATACGATAAAGCATGTGTGCATTTGTTTTCTATCATATACCCTGGTACATGGTATATAGTAATACTATCCACGAATTTTCAATAGTAGATACATGTGGATCCTTAAAATACTGAAACTACTGTCGTTATTAGTATCAAACCAATAACAATTCATACAAGCTAAATCTTCCAATTGATAATTGGGCCAAAAAAAAAACTTGAATTGAATTAGTTCATTTTTCTCCATATCACGAAGGTTCCTTTCTTCCCAAAAGTGGCTAAACCAAATAAAAACAATTTCCAACTTTTATTTCCATCACAGTTTCAATATGATAAAATAATTTCAGGGTACTAAATGATAAAATAAACAAATCCAATCCAACTAACTAACTAATTGACTAAATAACTCCAATAATTAATGCTTTTAGTGGATAATTCGTTCTCATACTAGTGCTCATGAAGGATTACCTGAAAATAATTAAAGAATAAAACACAAGGAACAGACAGAATTAAAATAACGCTAAGTAAGATTTACTTCACTCCCGTAAAATAATATGTATAATATAATATAAGTTTATAATTCATTCCAAAATAGGTTTTTATAAAATATAGGATTTTCGGTGAAGATTAGCTATTAATCCTGGATATACTCCTCCTTCTTTCGGAAAAAAAAAATATAGGATTTTAACTCACACCAAAATATTTTGCAAGCCATGATTCACATGAGTTATAATTTCATTATCATGTCATTCGATTAACTACAGCATAATCTTAATTAGGATTTACAAGATTCACTACAACATAATCTTAACTAAAACTAACACAATTAAAAAACAAATCAAAAATCACTTTCTCTTTACCGCTTTTTACTCCTTCAATTTCCTCCGCTGCAATTCACTCTCAATTATTGCACGTAGAACACCTATTTCAGTCATCAAGTCAGCCCGCAGGTTTGCAACCAATTTCTTCAATTCCTCCATTTCATATGCGTTTTCAGTTTCTTTCCAAACGAAAAAAACCGCACCCAAGACCCTCCTGAACAAATTTAAAATAAATTTTCTCATTCCAAAATTAACAATAATCTATAAAATTAAGGATATAAACTCACCTTCCACCTTTGACATCCATAAAATTTCTTCCCAAAATCTCAGGTTGTGCAGATTGGAGCATTCAATCCACACCTACAGTACATAAGAGGCTCATACTCCAAGTTAGTTCGTACGCTAGATGAAGCCGAAGATGATGACATTATACACTTGAAGCTTGACGAAGCCTAGCTTTGTTAATGAAGCCCAGCTCTATTGACGAAGCCCAGGAGAATCGCGATTGAAGATAGAAGAATGGAGAGCTAATTTGAGGACATCTGGTGAATTGAGGAGAAGGAATGACGTGTAGGGTTTGAGCTAATATATTCCATGTCAGTTTAACAATATTTTCCATGTCAACCAGCTGGATAGGCAACCGGGAAGCAACTTGCGAAAAGGCTAAACGAACAAATTTAGAAGGTACGGGTGGCTGATTAGACTATATTTTAGTTCGTGGGGGAAGTTGAGCACATCGCAGTAGTAGATGGGCCTATTTGACACTTCTACCTTAATAGTATGATTCATATAGTTGTGTGGACCCTGATTCACATCATAATGATTGGGCCCCCAATCGTTATACCGTGCACCACGATACACATAGCAATGTGCGTCCCGCCATCCCAAAACGACGTCGTTTTGTTAAGTTGTGTGGAGAATTGATGCGACGGAGTGTATGTGTATTCTGTTATACAATTATGTACATTCAAAACTGATGGTTTTTTTTTAAGAGTTAAGAGTTTATATGTATTATGTATTATGTTAAATTATGTAATCAACATGGTTGGCGTGATGGTTCAGCACCCTGTCCCTGGGGGTTCGATCTCCACCCATGTGAATGGAGCAAACCATTTGGCCAGTTCCCTGGATTAGTTTTCTGGCTATAATTATGTTAGATTATGTGTATTATCCTTTCAAAAAAGTATATGTACATTCAAAACATGAGAAACGACGTCGTTTTGGGCCAGGACGCACGCCTTATAATTCGCCTTGCGCCTACCAGGTACCGCAAATTATGCTGTGCAGCCGTGTGCACCATACGTTGCAAAAACGACGTCGTTTTGACTAAAAGCGCGCGCCCCACTTAAAAAAAAAAATCAGGTTCGATTCTCGGCAATAGTATTTTTTTGTGCATAATTTGAATTATATATCCACAAATTCATAACTATATATCCACAAGTTCATAACTATATATCCATAGTGAATGAATGAATGAACTAAATATCCACAATGAATGAACTAAATATCCACAATGAATGAACCAATAATTCACAATGAATGAACTAAATATCCACAAATTCATAACTATATATCCACAAATTCATAACTATATACCCACAATAATTCATAACTATATATCAACAATAATTCATAATTATATATCCACAATAATACTGTTGAGGGGAATCGAAACTGAATATATATTTTTTTAAATGGAACAGGCGTTTTTAATCAAAACGACGTCGTACAACATTTTTTTAAATGGAACAAGCGTTTTTAATCAAAACGAGTACAGCATTTCCCAAATCCAACCGCCCATTCCGAAGTCATTTTCTCCGGCGGTGCGGTGGCGGGCCCAAAGCCATTTTCCTGAGGCAGTAATTTCTTTCTTTTTCCTTTGCCCTTTAATGTGGTAGATTTGACTGTTAGCATTATAACTTGCCCATACATTTCCCCACCCCTCTTTTCTATGACCTTTTTCTGTATGATGATGAGGTAGGCTGTATACTTGTATCCAATATACTGAAACACATTCATACCTTCCCATACTACCATATTTTGGTGTTTAGTTTTTCTAATTATTATATTTTATTCTGAAAAAAAGAAATGGAGGAATTTATATCATCAGAAGCTTGAATTTATGAATTCTTGACCACATAACCCTTGGTGCTGCAGCTAATGAAAGTGACAAAATAGGGTGAATTTGAAGCAATGGACCCCAATCTCACTTATGCCAACATGTGTGGATGGCATCCATCATTACTCCTATGAATACATACAAAGAGCAATATACAAAAACTAATGAACACCAGGCTTACACAACTAGGAGTCTTGAATGTCACCTAAAGACACTGCAAAAACCTCCCACTGAGCTTTGTGCACTAAACTAATTCACTTATTAAAACTATGCTTAGTGGAAGAAAAGTAATCTAAACTATGGCCTATGAGAATCTTGGTTTCCTCAAAAAGTATTTGAATCTTTGTTTCTTTCCCTTTTGTAAAGATCTCAGCCTTACCCCCTTTTCTCTCACCCCATGAAAAGTGATACTGATTACTAAACCCCCACCTTAAAACACACTGTGTGTTCTTCCACCCTTCACTTCATATTTGCCTTATCTTTTTCAAAATGTAAGCTTTTTGTTGGAAATACCCACAATTTTCCACATGTTTCTTAGAGCTAAAATGAATGGGGTTTCGGTTTCTGAGGTACCCATCAAGAATTTTCTAGGTAAGAGATGCAGAATGCTCTGTTCTTTTGGAACTTTTGGTTATGTTTTAGCTCTTATACTTGTACTTTCCTCTGCATTTTTGGGATGTTGTGGTGATGATGATGGGGATTCCAGTATGGTGTCAGTGCCTCTTGGCTTTGAAATCTCTGGGTTTGATAGAACCAAGAATTGGGTATCTAAAAATGGGGTTTTTGCATTTGGGTTCTTGGAGAAGTATGGTGGTGATGATGTTGATGGGTTTGTTGTTGGGGTTAGGTATAATTTAGGAGATCAAGAAGATGTTAATGTACCTGTTTGGTCTGTGGGTGGGGGTGTTAGGGTTTCTGGAAATTCCACTTTTAGGCTTGCCATGGATGGAAGGCTGGAGCTGATTGAGAATCATAGTGGAATTGTTGTTTGGAGCAGTAATACCTCTACTTTGGGTGTCCAAAAAGCAAGTCTTTTGGATAGTGGTAATTTGGTGCTTTTGGATGATGATAATAAAGTTGTTTGGGGAAGCTTTAGTAGTCCAATTAACACCTTACTTCCTGGGCAGTCTCTCCATTTCCCTCAGAACCTTAGAGCCCCTTCGACCCAGTCGGTCTCGAGCTACTATAGTTTGGAGATTAGGCGAACTGGGGAGCTCGCACTTGTCTGGGAACACAATGTGACCTATTGGAGGAGCCATTTCGGTTCCTCAGCTAGTGTCGAGGAAGCAAGGTTCGAGTCTACAGGTGTTCTTGGACTTTACGGGGATAGCAGCGAGGCTGTGTGGTTTGTCACAAGTAAGGATTTTGGAGATCCTTCCGTGACTTTGAGGCATCTTAGGATTGATCAAGATGGGAATTTGCGGATGTACTCATGGAACGATGAAGTTCGATCGTGGAAAGTAGGATGGCAGGCGGTGATTAACCAGTGTAATGTGTTTGGCTCCTGTGGATTATATGGTATTTGCGGGTATAACACCTCGGGCCCGACTTGTAATTGCCTGTATACCGATTCTTTAGATTCGGGAACCAGCGGTTCTGCTGTGGATTTGGGCAGCTCGGGGTGCAAGAAAATGGTTGATTTGGGGAATTGCAGACTGCATACTAGCATGATGGTAATGAAGCAAACGGTTCTTTATGGTCTTTATCCCCCGCTTGATGTTAATATGATTTTGAGCGAGGAGGCTTGCAAAGAGTACTGCACAAACGACACTTCTTGTGTTGCTGCAACTTCAAAAAACGACGGGTCTGGTGTCTGCACTATCAAAAGAACCAGTTTTGTTAGCGGGTACACTGATCCCTCTGTCCCTTCGGTTTCTTTCTTAAAGGTCTGTCAGGTTCCACTCGCGGTTGCTGCTCGTGCTGCTAATCACCGTTACAACGGGGAATCAGTTTCGTTGCCATCTAGTAGACTTGCAGGCGGAGAAAGCAGGACGAGGTTAATCGAGGGAGTAGGCATTATAGTATTAATGACAGTCTCGATTGTTTTGGGCGTGGAAGGGATAGTGTTATGGGTTATGTTTAAGAGAAGAAAAATCGAGACTCGATTAACTCGATTAAGGAAAGATGGTCATATGAACCCACATTGCACTGGTGTTGTCCGGGTAACGTTTGAGGAGATTAAGGACCTAACCGATGAGTTTGCTGTTCGGCTTGGCCCTTCTGTCTTTAAGGGCACCCTCCCGAATCGAATACCAGTTGTTGCTAAGATACTGAGTGGTACAGTTGTGCCCGAGAAGGAGTTCCGCCTTGCAGTTTCTACATTGGGCGCTATGCACCATAGGAATCTCGCGTCGTTGAGAGGATTCTGCTATGAACCCGAACACAAGCTCCTAATCTACGAGTTCGTTCCAAATGGCTCTCTCGATAAGTGGCTCTTGGACTTAAACAAGGACCCGACTAAATGGTCATGGCATCAAAGGCTTAATATTGCTCTAGAAGTGGCACGAGCCCTCGCATATTTGCATCTAGAGTGTCCACAGTGCATACCCCACGGAAACCTGAAGCTCGAGAATGTTTTGCTCGGTGAGAGCTTCTCGGTCAAGCTTACAGATTTCGGACTTCAAACATTAATGTCGAACGAATCAGCTTCCTCCTCCGAGTCACCATCAGAGAAGGATATACACATGTTAGGAGAGATGCTATTACAAATCGTGACATGCCAGCGAGAAGTTCTGATGGAAAGTCCACAAGAAATCCTCGACGAATTGTCCCGAAAAGAAACACCCCCCGTGGGGAGTGAGGAGGATATGAAAGCGCTAGAAAGAGTAGTCCGGATAGCGTTCTGGTGCATGCAGACTCAACCCTTTCTTAGACCTTCCATCAGCGAAGTGCTTAAGGTGCTCGAAGGTACACTCTCGGTTGATAACCCCCCATCGGATTTCGTTTTTAGGCACGAGAGCATGACTGACAGTGAAGCTGTAGCTGCTGAGACCGAGATGGAATGCTAGAGTAACGAACGTAAACTGACCTGCAGAGAGAGCGAGCTCGCTAGCTAACTGCATTTGGCCTTGAACCTCAATTTTAAACGGGGCATGAGCCATCTCTCGGTGTTCATTAGGTTTTTTGCAAAGTTGAACCACGGGAACGTTCCAAGCTAAGCTTCCTAAACCGCTGTTTCATCTCTAGAGAAGTCAGCAGAACTGCAGAATCTCTGTGAGACACGAGCAAACCATTGCCTTCCCTCGTTGGCAATTTGGCGCTGAAATGATTCGATGTAAGTGTACCCTTCTGTACATCTTTGAATGAAACATCTCTCTTTAGAAAATAAGCAATTATGTGTTTCATTATATATATATGATGCGGTTTCAATTATCATTCCTGTCTGTATTACATAGCAGAGACTAAGGGTGAAAGATCGCGAGGTTTATGAAAACAGGAATGGAATTTTTGTGATTTGGTAAGGCTGATGATTAAAATGTGTTGAGTTTTTTTCAGTTAAAATGTTAAATGTGACAGAAACTTGAGAAAAATTAAGAGTAAAATGAACATTTCATGGTCTCATTGAGAGCCTCATAGCAGTAGTAAGATTTCTTTAGGCTTCTCTGAACAATGGTTGGTGCATCCTTTTTCACTTTGGTGTTAACATGACTGAGTTGCTCGCACGAGCTTAGCTCACTGGTTCAATAGACAGTATTTAGGAGAAGAGACCAAGGTTCGAATTTCGACAGTGGCAATATGGAAATTATGTCCAAAGTAGGCAGATCCCTTATGCGCACCGGCATTTGGCCTTGTCTGCTAAGCCATTGAGTCACTGGGGTTTGGAATTCAACTTTTTGGAAGAAGAGTCATGATTGACTTGTGTGTTTTAATTTATTTTCGTAAGAAACATTATGGTTATCAAGTCAACAATCCGATCAATTTAGCTGAGAAATTAACTATTATTATTATATGAACTTGACCCATTTATCATAAGTTCATAACCCAGAAGATACGGGTTTGTAGATCCAATTGTCAATTAAAATAAGAGTAGAGTTGTGCCTTGATTTTTGCTCAAGATTATAGTACACTTATAAGGAAATTCATAGCCACATGCATGTTATTTAATTGGAAGAAAGATGTCCTCACAACCAATTATATATACACTAGTCCTGTATAAGTAGACAAAAAGTACAATTATACAATTCTTCACAATAAGTTTAATAATAAATATACTGTTTAGCTATTACTATATTAATTAACTAATGATAATATCTTTTAAATTAAAATTATGCATTGATTTAAAGATGGCAAAAGATGAAAATCACGTGATGATATACATATATGCATGTATTAAAATAAAAAGTGTAATAAAAGTCATCCACATGTTATTTTAATGTAGTGAAGTCCAAAAATTGATTAACAATCTGTTATAACAGGTCACTAGGACTTTCAAAAATTTTGACAATATTCCGATCGATTACAAAAATTAACTCCGACAAAATCAAAGAAGGACGCATAAGAATGCCCGATGGTCGCCATATCATAGAAAAGGCCACTTAGGTCGCCTTCTCTCACAAAGAAGGTGACCCAGTGGTCACCGTCTCACAGAGAAGGTGACCACTAGTCGCCCTCTCACAGAGATGGCGACCAGTGGTTGCCTTCTTTGTGAGACGGCGACCACTATGGTCTCCTTCTCCATGGAGAAGGCAACCATTTGGTTACCTTCTCAGCTAGAGATGGCGACCTTGTAGTCGTTCAAAGAATCACTGATCGTCAAATATTTTTGGTCAATCATAATTATGGTTAATGGCACGTCTTGGCATGATCGTCTTTATTATTGTTGTTGTTTTGCTTTTATTTATTTATTTATTATAATTATTATAAAATGTTCATATATGTTATTTTACATGTTAACCATTAACATTAAACAGTTAATTTTATTAAACATTTTTTTTAAAATTATTGTTACAATCCGTTGTTCAAATTCATTAACACAATCCGTTACCAGCTAATCGATAATTGCCAAATAAGGCCATAGCCAATCAGGAGGCAACTTGTGTATGAGTAGTTGAGTACGAAATTTACAATTTAACCTGGTGAATGGTCCACTTCTTTTACTAGTACAATGATTTAGGAGCAATTTCAAAATGTCTCGTTAGAGTAGATTATTATATCACTTCCATCTCTTAATAAACTAGAATAATAAATTGAATAACTCAATTATTTAATACACTAGTATTTGTCCCATGCGATGCACGGAAAATATGTTAAAAAAATATACCCTATATGAGTTTTATTCATATATAAAATTTTTGTTATTTAATAACTATTATGTGTGAATTCCTATGATAAAATTATGAACATAAATATATTTACAATTAAAATAATATTTAAGGTAGGTGATTACTACAAATCTTAAATTATATTAAAAATTTAGTACATAGTATTTAATATTACAAATTTTTAAGAGCTTAGTAAACTACAATAGTAATTGAATTACAATTTTAGAGTCACCACGGATCAAAATTTTTAGACCTTTGAGATTTCTAACTCTAGATGTAGCAACATACAATTGACCTTTAAAGACCAAACAATTATTTATAAATATAAATGACTATTAATCATCATCACCATTTAAAAAAATAATTGTAACAATAATTGCTCATCAAACCATATGGCTATATTATAGTTAAGATTTCAATTATTTTTTTAGAGTTAAAAATGATTTTCAAGTGTTAACATTTACTTTCTTTATCTGGTTTGTCCTTCACTTTTGTGTTCTTTTCCCTTTGATATTTTATAAATAGTTTTCAGGGGTAGTTTTCCCTTTGATATCTGGTTTGGCATCATTTTTAATGCTATATTATTATTTTTTGTTGTAAAATTCACTATTTCCATGTAATTATATGGGTAATGTATCAGATTTTGTTGTATTGCACTAAACATTTTCTTCACTTGTTTCCTGTTATATATCATATTTTTTTTCACTCATATAAAAAGTGTTTACTAAACTTGCTAAATCTTAACTATAATACCAAATTACCAACATATAATTAATACCAACATTTAACCATTAATATCAACATTTAATTTTCACAAGACCATATGGAACTTGCTAAATCTTAACTATAATACCAACATGTAATTAATACCAACATTTAATCATCAATATCAACATTTAATTTTCACAAGACCATATTACTTTATTATAATTAAGATTTAGACTCTAATTGGGTCGTTGAGTTTGATTTGTATATTATACATTTAAAGAAAGACTAGTGTAGAACATGCGTCTTACCGATTTAATTGGAAAAAAAAAAAAAAAAAGATCACCTCTTTACCAATTTAAGGATTTAAAAAAAAAAAAACAGAAAAGGAAAGTAAAAAACACTTTTATTCTAACTTATTATATTATTAAGGATTTGAGTGCGGACAAATACATATTACCATTAATCCTTGTATCCAATCTACTAGTCATGGATATTATTTTGGTAAGAAAATTGGTAAAACTCCTTAAATTGAGGTAGCCAAAATGGAGACATTTAGCAGCCAACCCATGTTGATGGGATGAAGGTAGGTGTCATGGTTACACTCATCTGCTTTTTATGTCGTCGTCCTTGTCATTGTCATAAATAATATCTTCATCACTTCTACGAACCAAATCTTCATCACTATTACCAATGCCATCTTCATCACTGTGACCAACCAAATCTTCATCATCACCACCGCCATCTTCATGACTGTTACCAACCAAATCTTCATCACCGCCGCCATCTTTATGACTGTTACCAACCAAATCTTCATCATCACCACCGCCATCTTCATGACTGTTACCAACCAAATCTTCATCACCGCCGCCATCTTCATCACTATTACCAACCATATCTTCATTTTTTACTTTCATGTTTCCTTCCCCACCCTTTAGGGGGGAATGTAAAGGCTCATCACTTTTAGTATCAACAACTCCTTCACCCAAACTACTTAATGTGGGAGAGGGAAGGGGTCGACTTAGGGCTGAGCTAATAAGGGATGATGAAATTAGTAGAAGCATGAAAGCCGCCATGGAAACACTTTTTGAAGATGCCATAATGTTCAGTAGTACTCAGCTAGCTAGTTGAATTGAAGATGATAAATCCAAGCCAGAGATGTAGAGCTTTATATAGAGAGGTTCCAAATTAATTAACTTCCAAGGTTAATTAATTCATTCATTTTGAATGGGCAGGGTTTTGGATTGTGTAATGCAGGAATTAAGCACTTCTAACACTCATGCATGCTTGCATGGGATGTGATGAAACCTAACACTATATGATTTTTCGGGTTAGGATAGACTCATCAATCTAAATCTAGAATATATATAAAAATAACAAAGATAATAAAGGACATATAGATGAGCACAAATACGCGATCTTGAATTGAATATGATCAATTGGATGCTTTGTCACACCATGACCATCCCAATATGTAATCTCTAATCTGATATACAGCTGGTGTTTATATTAATTTGAGATAATCTCTCTGATCTTACTGAGATTTTCATGAATTAATTAGATTTCTGTCACTTGAGTCTCATTGTTGATATATCATATTATAATAACTCATATGCAAGATCTTATTAAATTTGGATTAGGCCGGCCTACAAATATATATTACACTAGGGATGCACTCAGGTGCAAATAAGTGTTCAGGAGGGAAATGCGAACGAATCAGCACGCGACACGTGTTCAGATCTAATAACTTAAAAAAAAAACGCGGTGGCATTTTCGTAAATAATTGAACATCAAAGTGCAAGTAAAATCACTTACAAGTGCACCTACTTTCACCTATAAGTGCATGTAATTTTGTCTTGTTAGCATTCACTTTCCGCAAACATTCATGCAGTTGTATGTGCTTATAACTCTATGTGCAACTATTTATAACTATAGGTGCAACTACTTATAACTATAGATGCACATACTTTCACCTATAAGTGCATGTAATTTTGCCTTGTTAACATTCATTGATCTGAGTTCAGCGGGTAGTAATATCCCTGAAAATCACTCGCAAACATTCATACAACTGGGTGCAACTACTTATAACTACGTGTGCAACTACTTAGAACTATATGTGCAACTACATAGAACTATAGGTGCAACTAAGTATTGATGCTCAGTGTAAATTTTTACTTGCACCTATAATACATTTTACATGCACTTGTAATATATTTTACTTGCACTTCGATGTTCAATTATTTACGAAAATGCCACCGCGTTTTTTAAAAAAATCAGTGTTTCTCATCCATTAGATCTGGACACATGGACAGATGAGATGCATTCTCACTTCTCTCCTGGGCAAGTCATTCGCACGGGAGTGTAACTCTATTACACTATATATCAGGATGCTTAGCTTGTTAGTTAATTCAAAATGGCTTGAATACTTTCATTCAATTTGAATGATTAGGTAACTAGTATGATATTGGACGGAATTCAGCGACATGAAATTTGCGTGGACCTACCAACTGAATAAAGTGTGTGTGTGTATATATATATATATATATATATATATATATATATATATTCAAATAAAAAAGCTTAAAGTAAAAAATGCGCACAATTACTAACCGTAGATGCAGTCTAAATCAACAGCCTAGATTGAATATTAATTAAAAAAAAAAACGTGTGGTGGTATATTTGTAATTTTGAGTAAGTAAGTCAGATTGTATTTTGTATCAGATTGCACATTTTTCTTCTTCGAGCTGAGTGCACATTTTTCCTTCTTCAAGTGCACATTTCTCTTCTTCGATTGCATCTGTTTTATTTCAGTACTTAGTTTATCCTTTGAGTGCACATCTTTGTGCATTTGACTGCAAAACTTTTGCCTTTAAGTACACTTTTTGTAGCATTCAAGTGCATGTTTTCCTTTCTAAGAGTGCACAATTAATTTTCTTCTAATAATTTTCTTTTTTAATTAGTATCTTTTTTTTTTTCTTGCCTTCTAGTGATCGTCCATATGCTTTCAAGTGCTCAATTTCATGTCTACAAGTGCATGTGTGTCTTACTATTGTGTTAAAAAAATAAAATAATACTTAGTATTCCATTGAATCCTTTTTTTCATTCTAGTGCATGTTTTTAGCCTTCAAGTGCATGTTTTAATTTCTAAAAGTGCACAATTAATTTCTTTCAAATTTTCCTTTTAGTGTCCTTTTTTTTTTTCCTCCCTTACCTTCTAGTGATCCTTTGTATGCCTTCAAGTGCTCAATTTAATACCTACAAGTGTATGTGTGTCTTACTATTTGTCTTCAAGGTAGTGCACAATTCTTGGCAGTATTTGTTATATCTTGTGCATTCTTTTCAATAACATATAACTAAATTTCTAATGAAAATTTTGAGATTTACAAATGATTTATACGGGTAATTGGTTTAATAACACTTAAGTTGAATAACCTCCCTTTTTGGTACCATAAATTGCATCAATTGCACATCTATTTGCCTTCGAGTGCAAATTTTTTACCTTCAAGTGCATATTTTTATACCTACGTACAAGTGCATGATTTTGAGCTTTCAAGTGCACATTTCGTATAGAATTTATTTTAAGTGAGTCATTAATCATGGTTCACCGCATTTTTTGCACCGAAAGTGGCGTGCGCACATGATCCTAAACATATATATAGGTTTCGTTTCAAGTGTGAACCATTGCTATCATGTGAACCTATGAACCCCCACGCATTGTTGAGATGTGAGATTGGAAGCCAAGATCTGAGGAGTGGTGCAGTTGTGCATCCGATGTAGTTGTGCAGTTGTGTAGTGGTGCAGTGATGTGGTGCATTCGTGCAATGATATATATTTAGCAGGTCAAAATCATTATAAACCACAAGATCGAGAAAGATCAACGGTGCATAATGGTACACAGGTTTACATGATAGCTTTGGTTCACAAGATAAACCACAAGAACGAGGATGGTGACCATGGGCGTCGTCGTGAAGAAGGGAGACAATAACCAATGGCTGTCCTCGCCGGTGGCTACTTCTTCTTCGCTTTTTTTTTTTTTTTTTTTTTTTAATATTTTAATAAAAGAATAAGGGTCAAATAGGCCACTCAACTACACACGAAAGTGTAATTAAGCCATCAAACTCAAAAAAATGTAATTGGGTCATTGAACAACACAAATTCATGCAATTAGGTCTTATAAAATGACATATTTACCTGCTGTGGAGGTTTCGAATTTTAAAATAATTTTAAATAGAATAATTTATTAAAAAAAAAAAAAAAACACGGTCGGGGACTATTCGTCTCCGGCCAACTTCTTCTCCATGGCCGAAGACGTCTCTGGCCTCCGGCCTTCGTCTCCATGGTCAGAGGCCGGAGACGTCTCCGGCCATGGAACTTCGTCTCCTGGCCAGGGAGACGAAGTTCGCCGGCCGGAGATGATTTTTTTTAAAATTAATTATTTTATTTAAAATTATTTTAAAAATTATTTTTTAAATCTATAACTGCCACGTCAGCAAAGTTTAAGGTAAACATGTCATTTTGGACCTAATTGCATGAATTTGTGTTGTTGAGGGACCTAATTGCATTTTTTTAGTTTGATGGTCTAATTGCACTTTGGTGTTCAGTTAAGTGGCCTATTTGACCCTTATTCCTTTAATAAATAAATAAATAAATTTGAATTAAAATATTTTAATAATATTTTGACTACGCTGGTCATATTATTACAATTACAAATTACAAATCTTATTTTGACTCATCTGGTCATATTAAAGAATTCTAAGTTACAAATCTTATTTCAGCTCGTCATATTATTACAATTACATATTACCAATCTTATTTCAACTTCAATTCTCTTATCATATTATTACAATTACAGGTTACTAATCTTATTTCTACTCCTTTTGTCACATTATTATGACAATTAATAATTACAAATCTTATTTCAACTCCTCTTGTCATATTATTACAATTACAAATTACAAATCTTATTTCTATTCCCCTTATCAATTTATTACAATTACAAATTACTAATCTTATTTCTACTACTCTTATCATATAATAACAATTACAAGTTACAATTTACAACTTGGTGAATGCTCCACTTCTTTTACTAGTACAATGATTTGGGAGCAATTTCATAATGTCTCGTTAGAGTAGATTATTATAACACTTCGATCTCTTAATCAACCAGAATAATAAATTGAATAACTCAATTATTTAATAAAGGGAAAATGGCACTTCTTCCCCCTAAGTTATATACTTATAGCACTTTCTCCCCCTGAATTATTCAAGTGGCTGTTTTTTCCTTGAAATGTTAAATGGACATATTTATCCTTAAAATAAATATTTAAAATAAATAGTTCATTTATTTTCCTTCTCCAACAAATTATGACAACAATTTGGTTCAAACCAAACAAACACTATAGCAACCAAACCGAAATATTCCAATTACAATTTAGAATCGAAATTTGATATTTAGAGTTTATTAAAATCGCGAACCGGAACGGACGATTCATGTTCCGAATTGAAAAATAAAATACATTTATTGTTAAATTTAGACTATTTTAAAATAAAAAATAAAATTTTAAAATAAAGACGGTTCAAAATCGCGAACCGGATCCAGAACCGCCGATTCACGGTTCAAGATTCAATTTTTTTTATTCATAATTTTAATAAATTGAAATCCAAATATTAGGTTCTAGATCTGAATCCTAACCGAAAACTTTTAATTCAATTGCTATAGTGTCCGATTCAGTTTGATCTGAACCGTGGTCATCCCAACGTTACGCGATAATTTGTTGGAGAAGTAAAATAAATAAAATGTTTACTTTAAGAGTAGAAATGTCAATTTAATATATCAGGGGAGAAAACCACCACTTTTAGAATAATTGAGAGGGCTAATGTGCTTACCTAAATAATTGAGAGGGGAAAATGACTATAAGTATATAACTCAGGGGAAAAAAGTCTCATTTTCCCTTTAATAAATTTACTCTAATAGGGTCGTTGAATTTGATTTGTATATCATAAATTTAAAGAAAGACTAGTGTATAACATGCATCTTACCGATTTAATTGGAAAAATATCACATCTCTACCAATTTAAGTATTTAAAAAAAAAAAAAAACAGAAAAAGAAAGTAAAACATCACTATTATTTTAACTTATTATATTATTAAGGATTTGAGTGCGGAGAAATACATATTACCATCCACTAATCCTAGCTTGTATCCAATCTACTAGTCATGGATATTATTTTGGTAAGAAAATAGGTAAAAACACTTAAATTGAGATAGCCAAATGGAGACATTTAGCAGCAAACCCATGCTGGTTGGATGAAGGGAGGTGCCATGGTTGCACTCATTTGCTTTTTATGTCGTCGTCCTTGTCATTGTCATAAACAATATCTTCGTTGTTGTTACCAACCATATCTTCATCACCGTTTTTTATGTCGTCGTCCTTGTCATTGTCATAAACAATATCTTCATCACTGTTACCAACCATATCTTCATCACTGTCATATTCATCATTGTTACCAACCATATCTTCATCACTGCTCCCTTCATTTCTTCCTTTCATGTTTCCTTCCCCACCCTTTAGGGGGGAATGTAAAGGCTCATCACTTTTAGTATCAACAACTCCTTCACCCAAACTACTTGAAGGATGGAGATTGAAATGATGGGCATTTAATGTGGGAGGGGGTCGACTTAGGGCTGAGCTAATAAGGGATGATGAAATTAGTAGAAGCATGAAAGCCGCCATGCAAACACTTTTTGAAGATGCCATAATGTTCAGTAGTACTCAGCTAGCTAGTTGAATTGAAGATGACAAAACCAAGCCAGAGATGTAGAGCTTTATATAGAGAGGTTCCAAGATCAATTCATTCATTTTGAATGGGCAGGGTTTTCGATTGTGTGATGCAGGATTTAAGCACTTCTAACGCTCATGCATGCTTGGGATGTGATGGAATGAACCTAACACTACATGATTTTCCGGGCTAGTATAGGCTCATCAATCTAAATCTGGCAAATTATATCGTGCACCGCGGTGTCAGACATTACAGTGTGTCCAAACTGACACTGTCAAAACGATGACGTTTTATTTAATGAAAAGAAACAGAATTTTCGCAAAAAATAACTCTATTCTTCAGTTTCATTTTGTATACATTGCAGTTTCAGTTCAACACAACTACAGTTTCATTTCAATATAACTACAGTTTCATTCAATATTTATACACTCAAATATATGAAAATGTTATTTAATTTTATTTTATATACACTATAATTTCATTAAAACACAACTACATGATCATTTGAATATAATTACAGCTTCATTGTACAATATACACTCAAATATATGAAATGTTATTCAGTTTCATTTTATATATACTGTAGTTTCATTTCACCACAACTACAGTATCATTTTGATATAACTGTAGTTTCATTTTGATAATATAAAGATAATACGTGAGCCAGTATCGGTTTAGACATACAGTATAATCTGACGCGCGGTGCATAATCGATTATGCACCGCGGTGCACAATATAACGACCCTCTAAATCTAGAATATATATAAAAATCTTGAATTATATTGAATATGATCAATTGAATGCTTTGTCACACCATGACCATCCCAATAAGTAATCTATAGCACTTGTTTAATTAGATTAATTTGAGATAGGCCCTCTTTGGTAAAATATTAGCTTATCAGTCAATTTTGATTTATTTGATTACTATTATTTATTTGATTTGGTTAAAAAAATTAATATAAGCGTTTGATTAATTAGCTTTTTGTAACTCTAAAATGCTAAAATTCAAAAAGCTACTCAAAGCAACTTTTTTCTATTAACTTTTTGAGAAAAAGAAATTATATCAAACAACTATCAGCTAACAACTAATTTACCAAACATTTTTATACAATCAACTAATGTTATTAACTAGTT